TAAGCGGTTCTAATCGTTTCGGAGCGTTTAGAAGGAGAGTATTGTTTAATTTGCTTAAGTTCTGCAAAGAATGGCAATCTTGTTGTTTACTGTCGTCATGGTTATTTTGTTCTCTTTGGCCTTTGTTTAAAAGTTTCTTGTTGACGTCAGTATTTAGTTGTATTAAACCGAGTAACTTAGCGTCATTTCCAGATAACAGATTTTCGTGGTGTGTTTTAACCACGTGGAATGTGGACTGACGAAATTTGGTTTGACTTTATATCACGACATTAATCTGTCCTTCTATTTTGAGCTTTGGATTGTTATCCCCGTAAGTAATAATCTGTGTTTTAGATTTTTGTAGTCGAAGTGGTTTTTTAAGGAAGTTGTTTATCTTTTCAAATGTTTTAAAGTTTAGAATGTTTATCGAAGCTCCGGTGTCTATTAGAACGGTTATTGGTATATTTTCTATGTTAATCTTTACCTCGAAGTTCTCAAGTCCGTCGTTAGATATCTGTTTAGCATTGACAGAGTACAATTCTCCTTTGTTTAACTTTGACTGAGGATTTTCGGATTCATTGATATCTTTGTAAATTGTATTTAATGGTTTCGTATAACCTTGTTCATTTCTTTTGTATTTCTTTTGATGTATTCTTGTATTCTGTTCGTTTTGTTTTCTAGTTTTACAGACTGTTGCAAAATGTCTGATTTTCCCGCAGGAGTAGCAAGATTTCCCCAAAGCTAAACATATATTCGTGTGTGGAAATGCGTTTCCACATCGGTAGCAAGTTCTTTTTAGCGACTTAGTTTCTGTCTCATGTGGCGCCTGACTGATTTGTGGAAATTTTGTTTTCTTTACTGTATTTACTTCTTTTTGTTTTATCGTTTCTTTCTCAAGTTCTTCTATTTGATGCTTCATCATCTCAAATGTTTTGGCAGTAGTTAACAAGTCCTGTAGAGTTTTGTTAGGATTTTGGAAACTGTATTTCCGTAGTTTTGAAATATTTGTGCAAAGCTCAATTTGTTGTTTAATTTCTTTATCCTTATCAGCAAACTCGCATTTGATAGCTTGTTCGTTTAATCGAACAAAAAACTGCTGAGTGGCTTCGTCTATACGTTGAACCATCTTACGAAAAATAAAGATTTCATAGCTCAGGTTTACTTGGGGCTTGAAATGTTCGTTAAAAGCTTTGACAGCTTGTTGGTATGTGATTGCGTATCTTGAGGTATAATGTTTTCATAAATTTCGTAAGTGTTATCTCCAATTAAAGTTACGAAAGTACGAAAAGTGTTATCTCCAATTAAAGTTACGAAGTAACGAAAGTTTTTGTTTATCGTCTGTAATTACAAGTGAATCGCAAAGTAGCTCAAATCGTTTAATGTATCGTTTCCAGCTTGAAAATAACTTGCTTTTTCAGTACAATAAAACGGTGGAAAGTTTGGTAAACTAATTTTTTTTATAGCCAAGGATAAATACGCTTTTTTACTAAAATCTTCGTTAACTTTTTTTATTATTTTAAATTTCTTTTCTTTTATCTTCGTCGCCAATTTAATGATAAACTACAACATTTCTTATCACTTATTTTCTATATAATGCCTTCATAAAGTTACAATAACGTAAATATAGTTTTAACTAAGATCTTCATCTCGGAGCACATTCTTACAATAATGTCCTTGGCTTTAAAACATACTCGAATGCAAAGTTTATATGTAGTTGATATGCAGTTGTACGAGACTAATGGTGGAGTACTTATAGATACAAAGATTATATGCAGTTTTATCAGACTACTGGTGAAGAACTTTATTTATAAATTGATTTATATGTTAATTATAAAGAGTTGAACATTAGAGTTTTTTAAAGAAGTAAATTTGTACTGATTGCAAAACTAGCCTATATGTTCCATGTCAATATATGAATTCTAAGGAGATTTTTTTTTCATATTTTGTTTCAACCTTAGTTTTGAAAAGACTGATATGTTTTTTTTTTTATTAGATAACTCTAGTAAAACTTCGTCCTTATACCATATAACACTTTTTGAAGGTTTAGAAAAACTTTGCCAGGTTACATTAGCTTATATGTAAAAAATGACAATTGGATATTAATACTCTATTTGAAAATTTAACAATAGAAGTAAAATTTATGTTCGTCTACTCAACAGTAATATTTTGTACAGTATATAACCAACACTGACATTAATAGCAAGAAAAAGTATTGAAGTCAAATAAGTTAAGCAAATAAATGTGGATTATGGCATTAAAAAAATCCAAATGATTGTGGCATCTTTTTTTAATTTTTTCTTTGTACTAAATAAAAAAAAATGATTTAAAAAATCAAATTAAGTGGTAAAAGTTTAACGTTTTAATGGAAAAAGAATAATGAAGAAAAGACAATAAAATTTTTAGAAAAAAGAGCAAAGTCGTTTGTCATGCTATCTGTTTTTGTTATAATAAAATGTGTTTTTTATGTATAAACTGTTAAAGTATTCAATGTAAATTTGCATGTGGGTATTTTTTATTTTTTATACCCTTGGTTCTCCATTACAGGGATTATGTTTTTCCGGATATTTCCGTAATTCCAGACATTTTTTTCAACTTTTAATTTTTTCGGATATCCAAAATATTTTCAATACATGCAAGTTGAGGTATATATTTTTGTAATATATTTCTTTTTTAAGCTTTTTCACTCATCACTTTAAAAAAAATTATGAAAAGTAACAACAACAAAAAAATTAGAAACAACTTAACTAAAAGCGAAATTAAAAAGAAAATAAGGGAAAACAAATTCCGGATTTTTTCCGGATTTTTTTCCAAACCATTTTCCGGATTTTTAAAATATGACTAGGATAATCTATGCCATTAAGATGTGGTTTGTTAAGAGTTAGTCCATCAGGTAATAAATTTACTATATCAAAAGAAATATATATAATCTAAATTGTAAATGTGAAAAGATTTCTAAATGTATTTCTCGTCAAATGTAATATCCCTGATTTAAGAGATAAACTCAATACAATGTTTATATGGAATTGTACCAGACTACTAGCTAAGTACTAACTAAGTAAGTATGCAAATGTAAATTTTAGGCAGTAGCAGAGGTTGTTCTAAGCTCATTACTGCATCTTTTTACCAACTTGTTAATTATAAAAAGTTGAACGTTTAAGTTTTTTTTAAAAAGAAAATTTTTACAGCTGTTTAACAGAACTAGCTTACACGTTCCATGTAATTCTATAAATTCTGAAGATGTTACTTTTTAACCTAAATTTTAAGGCTGATTAAGATCAAAATTTTTTATTACTTTAACTCTAATAATAAATCAACCTTTAAACACTATGAAAATTTAAAAAAAGTTTGGCAGGATATTTTAACTTTTTTTTCTTTTAGGAGTATTTAATGTAAAATAAATTATTTGCATAATAAACATAAAATTTATCAAAATTTGTTGCTTTATTTAATATTATTTATCATCAGTTGCAATTAGACATTTTGGTACCAATTATAGAATACAATTACTAATTTTTTGCTCAGGTTAACTGCTATATATCAACAAACATGTGTTTTATATGTATTGACTCTTGAAATTGGAATAAACTATAACATGAATTTGTATGTTTTCAATTTTTCTAGTTTCTACCTTTTTAGACTTAGTTCTTCATAAAAGTGTGATAAGTTAAGAGTTATTCTTTTTGGTAATCAAATCACTATGTCAAAACACACTTGCGGATGTTATATACAACAAATAATCCAAATAAAATAACCCAAATCAGCTCTTGTTTTTATTTTGAGAGAATTGCAAATTGCCTGGGCTACCTATAACAACCAATAAGCAATATTCTCAAACTTAAATTTTTTTAGTAAGTTATATAATTGTGATTATATATGGGAATAATTAGTGTAAGATTCTGAAAAAAATCAGGGAATTTTTAAAAATATTTTTCTCGCTGAATGATTGAATAAATATGAAAAAATCATACTAAGTTATTAATATTCTATTGATAATGCCAGGTAGATTATGTAGCTGTTATGAAAAAACAATTATAAAAATCTACCGTATGAGAATCACATCATAGTCAAGTTTCACTATCTGGTTTATATTTTGTTACAATGGTTGTCTTTTTTGTCTTAGAGTTATAAAAATCATTAGGAAAATAAACTACTTTTTTAAATTTTTATTTTTAAAAAGATATTATGTTTTGAGTTGCAAAGTTTTGAAAAAATATTTGTATTATATTGTACAAAATTTGATAGAAAAATTATAATTATTTTGATATTACCATTTGATTCTATATGCGATTATTCAATTTCATTTTAATTAATCAGAAAGCTTTTTGACTTTTGTTTTGATTTTAACATACGCGCTAAAACTTCTCCTTCAAAATTAGCCAATCAGATTGCACAAATCTCTGCCTATTCTGAGCCTGTATAGGGTTTCAAAATATGCCTCTCGGTGCCCCTGTATATTATATTAATTACAATATTAAACATATGAAACATACATAGATTATCCTTGTCATATTTTAAAAATCCGGAAAATGGTTTGGAAAAAAAATCCGGAATTTGTTTTCCCTTATTTTCTTTTTAATTTCGCTTTTAGTTAAGTTGTTTCTAATTTTTTTTTGTTACTTTTCATATTTTTTTTTTTAAGCGATGAATGAAAAAGCTTAAAAAATAAATATATTACAAAAATATATATTTCAACTTGCATATATTGAAAAGATTTTGGATATCCGAAAAAACTAAAAGTTGAAAAAAATATCTGGAATTCCGGAAAGTTCCGGAAAAAGATTATCCCTGAACATAAGATGAAGTGGGCCGCCATGACCTAATTTCCCAGACCGTTTTTCCAAGCCAGTCCGACCCTGGAGGTAGTGTGCTTGAGTATGTACTGAGAGTTTGGGTTACGTTAAACTATAGATTTTTAGACGTGATTATATAGTCAGGTCTAAAGACTTATGAAAAAAGAGACATAAATGGCAAAAAAATAAATAACTTTTTCGAACATAATTAACTATACATTTTCGGTAAAATTTAATGAAATATTACAATTATTGATCTACAAACTAAACACATTTTGTTAACTATTGAATTATCGAGATGATATTTCTGTAATTCAAAATTATCTCTGTAATTCAAAACAAAATTATAAAATCTTATGTTGTTTAAACTGAAATTTAAAAACATGTCTAAACATAATTTCTAAAGCATATTTAACTGCAAACACATACAATGGTAGAAAAAAGTTTTTAATAAAAAAGCAAGCGTAAAACCATAATATATTATTTTGAGATATACTTGTCGTAAAGATAAAATATACTGAAAGACAAACTATTAAAGCGCTAATCAAATCGGTCATTTTACAGAATTGTCGATTATTGCGAAAAAACGAATCTGGTTCAACTTTTCCAGATACGAACATAAAACATGTACTCGCAAAACCAATACTACATAAACAACCAGCATCTCTAATTACAGCACTAAACAATGTCGTGTCTAAGTGTACCCATTCCCGCAACTTGCAAAATTGAAGCGCTAACTTTACAGTTGAGGATGGATTAAAATCAAAGAAAAATAATATATAATATAATGAATAAGCAATTGCAATCAATACAATCCCAACGGGAGCAGCCATATAGTTAAAAATTATAAAAGGCAAACATTTGCTTGTGATATGTAAGAACAAAGCAATTAACACTCCAAATAAAGCACCAGCTAAAACTTGATGTGGGAAGTGAGCAGCTATATAAACACGCGACAAAGATAATAGAAACATTGAAGTTAAAAAAACTGGAACCGAAATAACGAGAAACGCTATTTTGACCTTCCTTTCGCGAAATATATCATAAAAATGAAGAAGTAGTAGTATACTTGATGAAGTGTAGGACATAACATGCCCAGACGGAAAACCTGAAATTTAAAAAAATAAAAAATTAAACTTTATGGTTTAAACAAATGCACAATGGAACAAATATGTGCTTTAAAAACTTTTTTTTTACACAATGTTAGCGAAAAAAGTATAAAATTTTTAACTAATAAAACGATTATTATTATAAATACTAAAAATAATATCTTTTAACGCAAGTTTTTGTCATAAAATAGCTTTTTTATATTTATATTTACACAACTCGATATTATAGCAGTAAGAAAAGATTTTGTAGGTAATACTTGGGCTGTTTATTAAATACGTCAACAAAATATTAGTTTTAAAAGATATTAGAAAAACTCAGTTAAGAAAATGCTTTATTACATTTTTTACTATGAACAAAAAATTTTCTAAAAATTAATACAATTTCTGAGATATGCTTTTTATTTCAATTTTAAAAAGAAAAAGTTACAAAGATAAGCAGTAATTAAGATAATTAAACAACAGTAGAAATGTAGTACTTGAACAAACATAGATAACAATGCTTAAATCGATTACTTTTAAGTATAAAAATAGAACAACACAAAATAAAATTCTTCTAAAACCAATAATAAAAGTAATAGGATAGCCCGCCTGCTACTATTTACATTCAGCTGTTAAATTTAAGCTCATAAACATCATCTTAAAAATAAACAACTTTGCCTATAAGTAACGCATAAAGTTTATTTTATTTAGTATTCAATTATTATCATAATGCAGGATAAAAATGTAAAAATGGCATCGGTTGGAAAATCGGTAAATTATGAAAAAAAGGCCGATGCCGATTGTATAATAAGTGGCCAATTAAGCCGATACTTAATCGGTACATCATTAGTGCAAACAAAAAAGATTCATATATGTACATGGTCTACATTATATTATTTAAATGTTTATACAAGGGGTCGGCAACCTGCGGCTTGCAAGCCTAATGTGGTTCTTTCGATGTCAAAATCTTTAGTTCAATGCATTAAAATAAAGATGTTTAGCTCTTTAAAAACTTTTTTTCCATTTCAAACAGTCTTTTTAAACAGTTTAAAAATTAAACTTTTACACTTGAAAATTGATATAAGTAACAAGTTTAAATTTTTTTTGGCATTGAATATTTGGCAAGGGAACTTTTTTACTAAAGGACCATTTTTTTTTTTTGGACCGGTACTGGCCAAACTATCGTTAGGCCAGTACCGGTCCAAAAAACGGCACATTAAGTTGTTGCCACAAAGTTCCGTTTAGGCAACAACTTAGCGCCCTTGCATCTCTAAAATTTTAGTTGCAAACTACCACTAAACTTGTAATATGGATATCTTCTATCATTGTTGCAGCTTTTAACAACACAATGATCACCACCACTCATGTACAATTTATTTGTTTATTTACTTTGTTTTTCTTTACTTATAAGCTTTTATTTACTTTGTTAAACTATTTTTTGATTTTCTTGTGCCTTTTGGTTATCCCATAATGCTTTAAATATGAAATTTTAAAAATTAATTGCAAAATATTGAATTGTTAAATTTTCTAAACTAGATTTTATGAACAATAATGATGAACAATGATATAAAAAAATAAAATTCCACTAAATGGAATGCATTATTAAAAAAATTTTCTTAAAAAAATCTCTAAATATTCTAAATTTAAAAATTCTATAAAAAGTAAAATTCTTAAAAATTCTTTTAAAATTCTTAAAAAATTTCTAAAAAACTATGATTCTTTTTGATAAAAAATCATTATCTGAATATAAAAACATTTATAATTGTCATATATATATATATATATATATATATATATATATATATATATATATATATATATATATATATATATATATATATATATATATATATATATATATATATATATATATTTATGAAAACATGGTATATCATGACAAAAAGTTAGAATTCTTTAAATCTAATTGAAAATTTTGAAATATAAACCTTTTCTTAAACAACTGATCTCTCTCAAAAAATTAAAAAAAAAAAAAATATCTTATTGTATGCCACCTTTTAAAAACACTTGAGCTGTACTTAATGAAAATTAAATTTTCTAAAAATATTTTAGCCTTGTACATATAATAAATTTTTATTATATTTTTATTTCTTTCACTCATATCCAATTAATAAAAAATTACAATCATTTTGAGTGTACTTATTTTATTAAATGGACATGACTTTTAAAAAAAAAAAAGAAAAAAAAGAAACTTAATCAATTTTTTAAAAAAGTTTATAAAATAGTAAAATATAAATTAGCGATTGCTTAAAGCTTTGTTGATTTGTAACTTATATTAACAATTTAAGCTTACCAGGTCCTGTTTCACAAGTAATGTAAAATTGCTTGAGTTGTATTGAAGAATTGCAAGCTTTTCCATCCAACCAATATGGTCGATCACCAAGAACGCACCTTTAATTAAAATAAACTTTAAATCAAAACTAAAAAAAAAGAAAAAAACCTTTTTTGGAAACAAGAAAATTTAATTAACTCATAAAATATGAGTTATACAAGAAAAAATTCACAAAAAATTATGCATTATTAAATGTTTACATGTTTTTGGTTATTTATAATAAATGTTTGTTTAAAACAATATCTTACTCCATTAAAAGTGTCAAGCATTAAAATCACTAATAACAACAATATTGTCAGAGGGGTAAAGATAAAGGGCATGGTCAATTGGATCAGAAATTTTTTTTAAAAGAATACAGTCTTGAGAAGAAGAGACAATAGAAAAGTGAAAGGTGAGTGAAGAGGTGCTAAGAGAAAGCACATAAAAGAATGGTCAAAAGTTTCAAACCTAATTTCTCAACAAATAGGTGAACTGATGCTCAAGTATACCCCCAAGCCAAGCATGTGACTATTAGAGTCTTTGCAAATCTTTGCAAAGACATTAAAATACCCATTAATACAGAGATCTAAAGAAAGAACAGCATAACTTAAATTAATCTAACAAGTCTGGTAAATTTCGTAAAAGGTAAGATTCAAGTGATGGAAGATTACTTCAAAGACCACAAATATTTGTGAAAGGTATATAGAAAAAGTAAGGTGGTGAGGATGGTTTTTAACTTTAATATTTTCAGTTTCTTTGAAGATGATTTAAAGAGAACTTGACTCATTCATAGATAGAGCATAGCATCCTAAGCAATGAACTATGTTGTTGTCTTGATCCTGCTAATTAACTCAAAGTTGTAATGTAAAGCTCTTTATACAGCCTTGATAATGCACACCAAAAGCATTAATAAGGACACTACCCATTTTTAGGTTGGAACTTATTTCTCCTAGATTTTGCCTAAAAAAAAGCAAACCCTACAAGACAGCAAGGCATGGGGCAGATATTACTGGGTTACATGTAGCAGGATGACTGTGATGATCCTGAACCTGAGCTGGAGTAGTTAAAAGAAGTTACATCCATACTTTAAAAGCTTGATAGAAATTTTTTGGAAATGCATTAGGAAAAACATTACATCTAACAGAATACTTGAGATTAAGGTGAGTGTAGCTTTTATAGTTGGAACCACTAGTTGGTTACTGAGCTCATACTGCAACAGAGATTTAAGCAGTACACAAACATACATTAAGTAACTTGCGGGCAAGTGAACATCACACCAGAGATTTCAGACAAAACACAAACATACATAGAGCAACTTATGGGTGAGTGGACACAGTGCCTAGGGGTTTATACAGAATACAAACATAAATATATAGTAAATTCCAATTGAGCTAACATAGTAACTAAGATTCCTTTAACTATATTTAAAAAATAAATAAACAAAAGTTTCAGCAAAGCAGAAGTTATCAAAACTTGGCAGCTTGAATTAAGGTTCTGAGTATAGAATTTTTTTTTTTTTAATATCATTTGTTTTTCAATTGGATATAAACATAGTTTTGTAAATATTGCAATTTATAACACTAATTTAGGCATGATTTAGGCATTGCATTTTTTTTCATGAAATGAACATAATGCTAAACATTTATAATAATGTAATAATTACACAAACTTACAAAAACAATGACTACAGTGAATATTAAAAAAAAATTTCAAGACTAATGTGTTTTATTTTATTGAAATAAAGTTATTGAAAAATAATAAATATATATATATATATATATATATATATATATATATATATATATACACATATATTTATATATATACACATATATATATACATATATAAATATATATATATATATATATATATATATATATATATATATATATATATATATATATATATATATATATAAATAATTTTAAAATAGAATTTTCAATGGCCAAAAATACATTACATATTTACAAAATAAATATTGTTATGTAGAAAAAAAAGAATACTAACAAAGAGAAGCTAGAAATTTAAAATATATTAAATAGTTATACATTCACATATTTTTATACAACATTAAGCAAAAATTAGTAACAAAATTATGGGGGGGGGGGGTAAAAGTTATTAAAACAGTTGGATGCTTTTTAAAAACATAAATGCACATTTCATTTTTTACAGAGAATAGAGGAATACCTAGTGCAGGTGAGAAATTTACACCTTCCCCTCTTTTCACCATAAAATGGCCAGTGGCCAACATTGTCGGCTCTAACGCACTGTGGGGGGGCAATTGTTTTTGCAGACCATTGTTTTTTTAATTCTTCTTTAATCAGTCTTTCCACCTCCATTGATGGTCAACCACAGTTTTTAATTGCCTCTTTTTTGCTTCTCAGGTTTTTAGATATGTTTTGAACCTAAGCTAAGAAAGATGTGGGGATCTTTTGTTGTTATTTTCTGTACAGAAGCCAACACTGAACAACCATTAGATCAAAAAAATGGAACACAAGACGATGGTACCACTTCTTTGATTGGATGGAGATTCTGTACAGAACCACCAATAAGTCTAACAAGTCAACGCTACCCATAAAAGAAATGAGTAAAGTACCTTTTCACATTAATGATACCATAAAATATACATATTATTGCTATACATTTATAATTATATAAAAAAAGTATAAATAATAAACAATATCAGCTTACTTTAATTAAATCTCACTATCATGTATGTAAATCTCACTATCATGTATGGTAACGAGTGGATACATAGAAAGAAGAAAGGCCTATTACTATTACTCTAATGCGAGTAGGCATAATCTAGAAAACATTTTTTTGTGTAGTGGCATGTTGTTTCAATTTTTCAACATAGAAAGTCAGAATTCTACTTAAAAATATTAAGAAATGTTACAGAAAGGAAAAGTTTTTGATATATGATTCAACTTCTAGGAAATATTAATGTGTAAAACTTTTTTAATGTGTAAAAATATTTTTTATGTGTAAAACTTAATATTTAATAAAATAATTCATTCAAAGTTTAATTATGTATTGGTTTGACAGTATTATCAACAAAGTCCGAAATCAACATATTATCAATGAAATCTGAAAAGATCGATTTGTAACTGGACCAGAAATCATAGCATCATTCATCTTAATTAATCCTGTGTCAATTAAAACCGTTCATCAACGTATTAATAACCGTTCATCAACGTTGATTTTATATTTCAGCAAGATAATGATCCTAAGCATACTGTTAAAGCATAAAGCATATGTTGTCAACCAGAAATGGGAAACATTTGATTGGGCATCACAGAGTACTGATCTAAACTCTATTGAGAACCTTTGAAGCATCCTCGACAAAGATTTTAAAGTTTCATAGGTGTAACACCCTTGATGATTTAATGGCTATTTTAAAAGAAGGGTGGGAGACTCTCGAACCAGAACTTTTGACACGTTTAGTTGATAGTATGCCTCAAAGATGTGCGGGAGTTATTAAGAGTAAAGGATATATGACCAAGTATTAATTTACTGTTTTAAAAACTTGTATTTATACTTTTATTTGTAACAAAAACATGTAAATAGATTATGTCTTTATGTTATTGTTTCGAAGTTATATATATATTTATATGGCTTATACTATGTGTCTTTATGATATTGTTTCGATGTTGTCTTTTTGTTATTAAGAGTTTCTAAATTTGTCTGTTTATTAGTAATTTTCGCCATTCCCAAAGCACTCTTAATAGTATTAACAACAGAATGTCACATTATTGGGGCAACTGGGACAGCAACTGTATTCTTAAACTTGTCTTACGAAAAATTCTTAGCTAACATCCCTAAAAATATTTTTTTAACATTTTATAATATTTTTTTTATTAATTAGCAAATGAAACATGAAACCTTAATATATGTGATCAATTCCCACCATTGCATATGCTTGGAAGTGAAGAACTCGCAGATAAATAAGCAAGAAGGTAATTATTTACCGTCACAGATTATATACATTTGTTAAGATTTTTGCTTTTATTAAAACACACAAAAATTTAAAATAGGAAATATTCTTATGAAGACTGACAATTCATACAAACTTGTACATATATAAAGTATAGCATTTTTCAAGAGGAATTTAAATTTGCTATTAACTAATTCCAAATCATCAATTTGAATTTATTAATCATTAAAAAAAAATTCACTATATTTTGTCCCACACTGTACATATATATATATATATATATATATATATATATATATATATATATATATATATATATATATATATATATATATATATATATATAATTACATATAAAAATTATCAATTTACCACTTTA